ATTCTATAGATTCTATATTCAGATTCTATATTTCAGATTCTATAAAATCTATAGAATCTATAGAATTAAAAATTATTTATAGAATTTTTCATTTATGTAAGAGTACATAACCAACAAATAAATTTCATTTTCATACTGCAAATATTTTTTTTAACAAAAGTTTAAGAATTATATATGTGTGCTTATAGTAAAAATGATGATTTAAAAATTGCTTAATCATTAAAAAACACTTTAATCTAAAGTTACTTGTAATTAAATTTTCAACAAATTTCCATAGTTATCTTTTTTCTACTTTCTAAAATATCATCAATTTAATCTATTCTATGCATTTCTGAACTTTTTTTTTATAGCAAATAATTAACTAATGCATATTATATAAAAAATAATAACTGTTGGATTATAATACTTCAAGAATTAAACTATAATTATCTTATAAGTTTGGCCTGACTGTAAAAGAGATTGATATAATAGAATATTTATGATCACTTAATATTTATACTTCAAGGAAGTCCTTTAGTAAAGTAACTCTACGCTTTTCAGCAATATCCATTTGATTTTCTAAGTCTCCACGATTTGTTGTTTCTGCATGTTCTATTTTCCAAGAAAGATCTTCTATTTCTGCTTCCAATTGAGCTTGTTGATATTCAAACTATAAATATTTATTATATATATTTAGTGTTTCTTTTATCTCTAAACTTATTAAATATTTTAAAAATTAAAATAAATTTTTACCAATTCTTTACGTGGACCAGGTTCCATATAATAAGCATAAGGATAAGTATATTGCAAAGTATAACGGCAACGTGTTAAAAGTGATGCAGCTGCAAATAAATGTTGCCAGTCAATCCATGTTCCACTAGAGTTCATTACTTTTTTATTTATTTGCATTTTTATAGCTTCCAATGTTTGCTCTTCTAATTTTAATGATTTACTATGATTTTCCCACTAAAAGATATTTAAAAGTATAAATACATATAAAATTACATATAAAATTAATCTTAAAAAGAAACAACTCTTACTCTTTCATAATAATGAAGATATTTTTTAAGAGCTTCTCTGGCTTGTGCAAGTACACTTTCATGGGCAATGTTAGGGTTCTCTTTATAACGTGAACATACGTAATATTCACTTCCATGTGCTTTCCAATCTCCAAGGCACATCCAACAAAAATCATACTTACAATTATAACATTGCATATGATTGCAGCCACCATTTTTTTCTATACAAATATGGCATTTTGGACACTATAAATTAAAGATTATTTCTTTTATAAAATTATATACACATATTTTACATATAAAATTTAAATACTGACATCTTTGGTGTGGGCGCTAATATAATTAGCTGTTTCTGAATCATCTGCGCATTTTGTTAACCATTTCTTCATAGTATTACAATCAGTAGGTGCATGGTAATCAATACCACATCGAAAACTGAAATTATTATTATTTCATTATAATTAATATTATAATAATATATTATTATATCATTATAATATATTATTATATTTTATAAATATGTATGATTAAACAAGTGTATGATTAAAATTATAAATATTCTAGAAATATGAATACATACCAAAATACAGTTTTACATGATGAACACATCACTCTTTTTGCTCTTTGTTCTTTTGAACGCATAATCATTTGACAATTGGGCCCTGGACAAAACCTTAATTGTGGATGGGATTTTACATAATCACAAAAAGCAAACTGTTGATATCTTTCTCTCATGTTAGGCTTGGTAAGTAGAGATAAAACAAAATCTTCTGGAGCTAAGACATTGCAATCTTGCGCCATGCAGCTTATTCCTAATTTAAATTAATTTAGCTGAATTCAATAAAAAGATTTCAATAATCTGATCCATTTTTTTCAATAAACTTACCTGTAGAAATACCTTGAGTTATTTGTACTTCAAAATGCATGCACCAGCAGTCTTTACAAAATGAATGTCCACATGTCAATGTAGAAAATTTCTCAGCTGGATAAATTGCAACACAAACTGAACATAATCCATTCCTTTGATTTTTTAATTCTGATAATGAATCCAATGGAGGTAATGGTTTTATTTTTGAATTAATTAATAAACTGGAAGCATTGGTACGGTATTTTGTGATGATATCTTGTAATGTCCAATTGTGCGCATGTAATAAAACTTTAGCTAAGGATGGTGTTATATGAAGACTATTACTTAACAATTCTACATCCTCATTCAAAAGTCTTTCCACTTCTTCAATTCTCAAACAATCATATACAGCATATTCAGGATCTCTTCTGCTTTGATCATTATCTATATCATTATCACCTTCACCATCCCATGGTTGCACATTATAATAATCTTCATAACCTGGATCTCCGCAATCTGAGTCGGAATAATCCATTTCAGTATCATATTCTTCAGTTGACATCTATATTATTAAATATCTTTTTTTAATAATTCAGAAATGTTTTAATTTACATATTTCATTATTTTAATTACATATACTTAATTAGATACATTAATATAATATATATATTGATATATATATAAATACATTATTATTTCTTTATAACCTCATAATTTTTATTGTTAAAGATAAATAATGATATATAATAATATAATAAAAAATATAATTATATCAATGAATAGAATAAAAAAATATAAATATATTAATAAATAGAGTAAAAAATAAAAATTTTAGAAAAAAATTTTTAATAACCATATAATAAAAATATATAGTATTTCCAGTCATATAATGTTTAAATAATCGATTTACTTATATAAGTTAAAACAATATTCAGAAATATTAAAAGAATAGCAGTGGATTCATTGTTTAATTATTTTACATAAAAAATATATTTTTGTAACATTTCGTAAACATTTTGATAAAAATCTTGTATATTGTATCATAATAAAATGTTCATTCATTTTGTTTTATTTACATAATGCGAATAACCTACCTTTATGTTTTTATATATCAAGAAAAATGCATTGATATATTTATTTTATAAATTATGAAAAAGTTATTAAAGGGCTCTGTTATAGCCGTTTATATCAATAGTTACACTGGCGCATAAGTTATGTGTATGTTCTTCCATGTCAGACATATAATGTTGAACTATGTGTAGTTGTAACAGATGATTTCATTTAATCTGAAAGTAGATAAGAATGTCAAAATCACCTGATGAAAACAGCTGAGTTCAATAAAGTACGTATATTTTCAATTTGTATCATTAAAATTATGAAAAATTTATTTTTAAATCTGATATACATATATTTTGAAATTACATTTATATATGAGTATTAATCATTTTTAAAATTATTTATACGTGAATTTTAAAACAACATATTCATAATGACATAAAAATTTTAATAAAATAAAAATAAATAAAATATAATATATATATTTTTTCGAATAATTTTTTAAAAATACTTTTTATAAACATGATATGTCAATATTACATTTTTTTATGATCATTGTATGAATAGATAAATATATACATACATTTTATCTTTATTAACTAAATATAATTTTATATTTTATAAAATATTAACAATTTGAAATATTAAAAGTTACATAAATGTATTATATAAAAGTATTAAAAAAATTTAATACGAAATAAATTCTTTAAAAATTTGTACGTAACATAAAAGAGAGAAAGTAATATAGATATAAATATATAATTATCTGTAGAAATATTTATTTCATTTTTGTAAATAAATATTTTATATTTTTGTATTACAAGAAAATGTTTATTAAATAGATATTTTTGTAAAATTATTTTTATTAAAGAAAAAGGAAAAAAGAAAAGCGAATACGTAATCTTTTTATTCCATAGAGTAGCCTATCTATCATTTTCATAATACTATATATGATAACTATATATGATATACAGTTTACAGTAGTATATTTACTTTATTATGGTGACTACTTTTAACCTCTATTTAAACTCGTCACAAAATTATCTCGTATTATTAAAATTATGTCAGTGTATCATGATGAAGTAGAAATTGAAGATTTTGAATATGACGAAGATGAAGAAATATATTATTATCCATGTCCTTGCGGAGATCAATTTCAAATATCTAAATCAGAATTAGCTGCTGGAATAGAAGAAGCCACGTGTCCTTCCTGCTCTCTAGTTATTAAAGTAATTTATGATAAGGAAGTGTTCATAGTTAAAGAGGAAGAACTTGTTAGAGATGAAGAAAAACAGCTTATGGCTCAGAAGATATGAGATAAATCGAAATATTTTCTCAAGTGTTTTTTATGATCACAATTGAAATGAAGAATTATCAAAGTTTTTAAGAGAAGAAATTGCCAATAGATTTCAAATAAATATTGCTTTTACTAATTTTATTAATTCTTTATTATTATTAATTGTTATTATTAAATATTATTATTATAAAATAAAATACGTGTATTATTATCATGGCTGGGCGTGGCAGAGGAAGAGGTAAACCTTCTATGTCAATTAGCACAGAACAATTAGGTTTTACTAAAGGAGAGGCATTACCACCACCAGTGTTACAACCTCCACCAAAATATCCTTCTTTAGAATACAAACCAATGCCATTAATTATTAATACAGAAATGAGTTATCTGTTAGAATTAAAGAGAGAATATGCAGAATATATGAGAGAGTCATCTAACAATGTTTTACCTCTTGTAATTAAAAAAGATATTGAAAGGTATTCAGATCGGTACCAAGATTTGATTACAGATAAAAGTAGTTACGAGACTAGATACGATTGGAGCAGAATACCAACAGAATTAAAACCTCAGCTAAGAAAACGTAAAGGACAAAAATTTGAGAAACCATTGAAAAAGCAAAAAAATGTTGATGTTGAGTCAAAGTTGCAAGAATTAGAAAAAAAAGAGAATTCACAACAAAGTGATACAGAAGAAGAGGAAAAGGAAGAAGAAGAAACAGAAGAAAAAGATGATGAGCATGCGGAGGATGAAGAAGAGGAACTGGATGAGGAAATGGATGAAGGAACCGATTATCTTAATAATTATTTCGATAATGGAGAAGGTTACGACGATGAAGACGATAATTTAGACGATGGACCTATTTATTAAGATATGACTTTTTATAAGAATCGGAAATTACTCTTTGTTTTCAATTATTGGATTAAAATACTTACAAGTTATTATTGAGCACTGTATGGCAATATGTATATATGTATATTTTATCGAATCACGTGTTTAAATAAATCATTTCAATCAAATCGTTTCATATTATAGATACACTCATGTGTATTTCTTATTTTTTAGTAATTATATTTTCTAAAGAAATTGATAACAAAGGATGGTATGATATATTGAAAAAAAGGAAAATAATTCTTTTAGAACAATTAAAACAGTCCAAGATCACAGGAAGCGTCGGCGTGTTCTTTATTACGAGTATTTCAATTTCTAATATATAATATATATATTTATATATATATAATATATATATAGCCATAATAATTTGCAATTATTGTAATAAATGATTTTCCTCTACGATGCAATCGGAGAGTAAAAACGCAATTTTGGACGAGAAGGGGATGCGCAAAAGTACCGTAGTGTTACGTAATGCTTAACATTTATATGCTCGCCGTGATAGTAATTTCTTCTTTAATATTTCACATTAAGTAATCATTTTCTTTCCCTTTGGTTTGCTTTCATTTACAAACAGTGAATTTTCCTACAAAGATCAACATCGGTCCCAATATGTGCACATTGAGTGCGGGAAAGGTATATGAGAAAAAAAAATGTGATCATAAAAATTGAACTCCTGAAATTTCCAGTCGCACGTTATCAAGTTTTTGTTAGTTATTAATTATATAATTTAATATAAAATATCGAAATATTGTTGCGTTATTTTCGGATTCAACACTAGGAAAGTAATTAAATTGTTTGCGATAAAGTGAAGAAAGTTATATTGATATATAGATGTTATGACTTGGCAGTTAATCGAATCATTTAAAAATTCGTAATTCGTAGCTTAAAATTTCTTTCAATTTTTTCTTGACGAAATGTCTCTTAATGATTTTATCATCTTTATCATTAATTAAATAACAAGATGTTACATTATGATAAATGATTCAAATTCGATATTTTGTAACAAATAATTACATATTGATTTAAGGATATAGAATAACATAGAAAAAAAATATATTCGGAGGAACAAATTACGTATATAACTATTCTTTACTATTCAGATTATGTTTGTTATTCTTAATAATGATTTCAACTTTGCAATTGCAAATTTTTCTCAATCTGTTTTGTAAAATATGAGAAAACTCGTTATATTTCATTTCTTAATTAAATCAAATCAATGTTTTTCTTTGTAATGTTTTTCTTTCTAAAAATTTTTTTCAAAAAAAAGAAAAAGGAAAAGAAAAAAGATTTATTTTTATAAATTTAATATTTTAAGAAATTGAAGAATTAATCTAATCGATGAAAAAAAATTAAGAAATAGTCATTCACGCTATTCGTGGTATTATAAAGCATATTCATCATTGTCATTATTCTTATAATAATTGACCGTTACACGTGATTCTCTTATTTTGACAAAACAGGCTTTGTTTCGATTTATCTCCTTAATTTTTTTGTAAATACTATTGTTGTTTTAATCTAATATTATTTTTTTTCATTCGCATTGTTTTTTTCATAATATACTATATAATGTATATATAGATATATTTGTATATATAAATATATATATATATATATATAGCACAATCTATCTATTAATAGGCATAAAGACTGAGGCGAGAATACAGGCGAAATTTTGAAACAATAATCATTCAGATACTGCATTTTTTTAAATATTTTTGTTTACTTGTTTTGAAATAAAATGATTTTCGCGTATTTCTTACCATCAGAGTCTTCAATAGCCAATTTTTTCTGAATTGTAAAAAAAGATCTTCTAAAATACTACACTTTTATTCATAGTTTCTGTTTTGAATCTTGATTTGTTGAATGTGGCCAGCACATTCATATTTATTATTTCTTATAAGATCCATTTGATGATTTTGTAATCATTAGGAATAGATCTGCCTATGTATAGAAATGAGAAGAAAGGCTCGGAGCAACGGGGAGGGAAATGTTGAATTGAATAAATTTTGGTAAAGAAAACAATTATACGAAATAATAAATCGTTTGTTTGATTAAAAGGAAGATTTATCATAAACTTTTGGTTTTTGAATTTCCAAGCCTTTTTCTTAAACATATCATCTGTACTTATTAGATATGCGTGTAATTATAAAGTAAAACATAATATGTTAAACTTTTGCCTATCAAGACATTATTTATAGTCTTGGGAAAAATCTTACAAATTTTAATTAATAAATCGCACTCGATATCGATTATCTATCAAATAGAAATGAATAAATATTTTAATTCAAAATGAATAAATATTTATTTTGTTTCGCAGTATTCATTAGGATCTTACTTCGTTTGAAAACAGGGAAAATCATTTTCCTTCTGTGTCTACATGCGTGTTTCATGATTCATGTTTCAAATCGAGATTGAATATAATGTACATAGTAGCCATATAGATGATGATGTGTGGCGTTCTGGAAATCACAGGACAAATCAGCTTCTAAATTCGGAAAGGCAGTGTAAGCTTCTGCGAGGTGCTTCTCCAACATATTTAAAACGGTTACTAGCCTTGTTGATCAACGTTTCCGTCTCCGTTTTTATAGGCTTACACCAAACTGTTCAAGCTTTTTTTCTCTCTTTTTGCATTCTCTTTTTTTTTATTTTTTGATTTAGCTAAGAAAATAAAAAAAAAATAAATATGATTTAGTGATACTGTTAAAAATTTTTTAATAATTTTAATAATAATAACAAATAAATATATGTTATCATAATTGTCCTCACCTCTTTCTTTCCCTAATATAATGCAATTTGAATAATTATTATATAACAGAGCAATATAGAAAACCATTAATAATAATAATACTCTATATAATGCCACTGTTTCAAGAATATTGATTGAATGAACTATTGTAGATAGTGTTGTTTTAGTTTTTTTTGTCGTTTAGTTTTAATTTTAATTATAATTAAATATTACATTTTTTAAATTTTCAAAACGATTTTAATAAAATATGTAAGTAATTTAAACGTTTATTACAATGAACGATAAATAGATTAAAATGGTGATTGCATCGAAAACATTTTTCGATATCTGATATAAGATTACTACCATAAACAATTTTATGATATTATGCATAAAAATCATAAGAATCATAATCACGAAATTGAATATTAAACAGATGTAAAAACGGATCTAGAAATCTAGACGAATATTTATAAAATAATGGAAATATTATTTTATGATTAAAAATAAAAATGATAGAAAATTTTATGCAAAAATATTCAAATAAATACAAGAAATAGAAAAAAAATATTCAAATAAATATAAGAAATAGAATTCATTTAATAATCTAATAAATTATTGATTAAAGTCATGCATTTCTTCTTCTTATTTTCCATTTTTCATTTTCCATTTCATTTGATAGTATTCATCTTTGAATCAGACAGATCGGTGTAAGCAGAGATAAACGTTTCTTCTTTCTAAACACAATCGAGGGAAGGAAAGGGAGAATTGAGGAAAGAAGGAAAATGGCATGAAATTCTTATAAAAAAAAAAAAAA